ATAAATATCCATGGATGGGAACACTTATTAAAAAGATGTGAATTTTTTCCCATTTTAATTTATGCCTCAATGCAATTCCAATGAAAATCTCTACAAATTTTTCATGGTACTTGATAAGGTGATTCTACCTGATAATTTTGTAGAATGATGTGAAAAGATTTGTTTTACAAACCTTCTTATTGAGAAGATAAGAAAAGATACAACTTCTTATTAAGCTGTACTAATCAAGAGAAAGTGTGATTAGCCAAACATTTTTAAAACACCATAATAGAGCAGAACAGAGATGCCGGAAATGGACCCAGGAATATATAGATATTTAATAACTGGTGGAAGCTATTCGTTTAAAAAAAAAACTTGCCAGGTGAGGTGGCTCATGCCTTTAATCCCAGAACTTTGGGAGGCAGAGGCGAGAGGATTTCCTGAGCCCACAGGTTCGAGACCAGCCCGGGTAACTTGGCAAGACCTCATCAATACAACAACAAATCAAAAAATTAGCTGGATGTGGTGGTGCAACACCAGTGGTTCCAGCTACTTGGAAGGCGGAGGTGGAAGGATCATCTGGATCCCAGCAGGTTGAGGCTGCACTGACCGTGAGCATGCCACGGTAACAGAGTGAGACTCTGACTCAAAAAAAAAAAAAATTACATTAGGTTCTTCCCTTATGCCCATTTCCAGAACAATCATTCCAGGTAGTAGTAGTATAATGTAAAAAGCAGTTTTTTGTTTGTTTGTTTTTTTGAGTCAGAGTCTCACTCTGTTACCCAGGCTGGAGTATGGTGGCTGCTCAGGGTCACCACAGCCTCTACCTGCTGGGCTCAGGAGATCCTTCCACTCAGCCTTCCAAGTAGCTGGAACCACAGGTACGTACCACCACTCCTGGCTAATTTTTTGATTTATTGTAGAGACAAGGTCTCGCCATGTTGCCCAGGCTGGTCTCAAACTCGTGGGCTCAGGTAATCCTCTCGCCTCTGGCTCCCAAAGTGCTGGGATTAGAGGCATGAGCCACTGCATCTGGTGCTTTTTTTTTGAGTTAGAATCTCACTCTATCACCCAGGCTGGAGTATAGTGGCATGCTCACGGCCACCACAACCTCGACCTGCTGGGCTCAGGTGATCCTTCTACCTCATCCTTCCAAGTAGCTGGAACTACAAGTATGCGCTACCACGCCTGACTATTTTTTTGATTTATTGAAGAGATGAGTTCTCGCCAAGTTGCCCAGACTGGTCTCAAGCCCGTGGGCTCAGGCAATCTTCTCACTTCAGCCTCTCAAAGTGCTGGGATTATAGGCATGAGCCACTGCACCCAGCCCAACATCTATTGATTGATTGATTGATTGATTGATTTGAGTTGGAGTCTCACTGTCGTCCAGGCTAGAGTGCAGTGGAATGCTCATGACCACCACTGACTCGACCTGCTGGGCTTAGGCAGTCCTTCTGCCTCAGTCTTCCAAGTAGCTGGAACTACAGACACAGGCCACCATGTCTGGCTAATTTTTTGTGATTTATTTTAGAGACGAGGTCTCACCAAGTTGCCCAGGTTGATCTCGAACCCCCGGGCTCAGACAATCTTCTTGCCTCGGCCTCCCAAAGTGCTGGGATTACAGGCTGAGCCACCGTACCTGGCCAATATTTTTTAAAAATGTAGAATAAGCTAAAGAATAATATGTCATAATCTTGGAGTAAGAAAGAATTTCTTCAACAAAACACAAAAAGCAAAAATCATTTAAAATATTCATAAATCTGATTATTTATTGCTTAAGTTAAAGCTAGCTGCTATTATATTAGGACTCCAAAACAAACAAGGGTACCTGCATAATCAACTTTTGTATACCTAACCTTGCATTGTACCCCACATCTTTAAAATAAAATATAATAAAATTAAAAAGACTCCAAAATGTATACTGCCTCAAACGCAATAGGAGTTTATTTCCACTCATTTAGCAGGTCAAGGCTGAAGGCTTCCTTATTGGGGGAAGTGGTTACCCATGGACACAGACTTATAGAGGGTCCCCAACCCATAACCTTCAAAATCACTATAGTCATCTCCCCCTACTCAGCCAGAATGAGAAATAGAGCATGGAGGGGACAAATGGTCTTCCTCAGAGCCTTGGTCAGAAAATGGCATTTATTACTTGTACGCATATATTACTTGTACTCATATACCATGGCTAAAACCTAGTCACAAGGCCATTCCTACTGAAGAGAACCTAGGAAGTCCAGTAAAAGGAAATGTAATTTTTGGTGAACTTAAACACTTAAACATTTTTGCTCAACATGAGACACCATCAACAAAAAAGGAAAGATAAGCCATAGGCTTGGAAATGATATTCTCATGTACATTGTATAAGATTCAGGTTATAAAGGAGAACTTTGAATAAATAACAAAAAGACCACTCACTAGAAAAATAGGCAAAGGATATAAACAGACAAACCCACAGTAAAATGATCTGTAAACAATCTATAAAAATATGAGAAAATATTCCACAGCTAGTGATGCCAAGAAGAGATAGGATATCACTTTTTTGGCCAATTGTGGCAAACATTAGAAAGAATGGTAATATCCAGCTTTGGCTGCAGAATAAAGGCACTCTTGCCCACTGTGGTGGGACTGTTAATTGGTGCAAACTTTTGGAAGATAATTTAGCAGTATCTATCAAAATTTAAAATAAGAGTTTTCTTTTTCCCAACAATTCTACTTTTAGGAATTTTTTCAGCAGATACAATCACACGCTTGCACAAAATATATGTACAAGAATTGTCAGTGCTACTTTTTTTGTAATAAAAAATAAAAATCACCAACTCAGAAATGGCTAAACAAATTATGACAATCCATTATAAGCTCCATATGGAATACCATACAGTGGAGCAATTAAAAATTGAGGCAAGTTGGGCACAGTGGCTCATGCCTATAATCTCAGCACTTTGGGAGGTGGAGGCGAGAGGATTGCCTGAGTCTAGGGGTTCGAGAACAGCCTGGGCAACATGGCAAGACCTTGTCTCTACAATAAATAAAAAAATTAGCCAGGTGTGGTGGCACACGCCTGTAGTTCAAGTTAATTGGAAGGGTGAGGCCGAAGTATCTCCTGAACCCAGCAGGTGGAGACTGCAGTGGTTATGAGCATGCCACTGCACTGCAGCCTGGGTAACAATGAGATTCCTACTCAAAAAACAACAACAATAAAAAAAAACTGAGGCAAGTCTTAAGTACTGGCAAAGGAAAAATTCCAAAACATTAAAAATAAATTTAAAAAGTAGGTCTCAGGACAATATAGATAGTATGATTATATATATATTTTAAGATCCTTAAAACTGTGTTTTCAAACAAAGGTCTGAAATGATAATACTATATTATGTTAGTGGTTTGTCTCGAGTTTTGAACAATGAATATGTATTATCATTGTAGTTAACTAAGAGAATGTTTCTACTGATCAGGCCGACATGGAAAAAGAGAATCCGATTTTGTTTTGTTCTTGTGGCCTTCCACTTAATAAGGAAGTGTTCCCTACTAAGGAGCAGAGACATCTCATCAGATTGACAAAATGGCCTTAAAAATGATTCATCCCTTTGGTTCTAGTCCAATGTTCTGCAAACATCCCTCTGATCATGGAAGCTTGGGTAGGAAGTGTGTACCTTCTAGTGAGCTGCTCAGACACCTTTGGGTCTCAGCCTCCCAGCAGTGGTGGCAAGGGATGGCTCGCAGCTGAGTCCCTCCCCTAGAGCTGCTCTTGGCTGCTGTGGCCACCACAGCCAAGGCGATGCCCCCATCCAGGGGAGGACGATGTTCGCATCCAATGACTGGTCCATGCCTGGTCTCCTTACCTGAATCTGGGACCTCTCTGAACAGCTCTTGGGAGCAGTTCTGGGGGTGTGCTGCTCAGATCTCCATTCACGAGAACCTTCTGTGGGAGTGGATTTGACCACTTCCTGTTGCCAAAGCTTTGGGACCTACTGCAGTTCAGGCCAAGGTCACGCTGTCCCCAGGGTGCTCCCACCCAATGACTAAGCACAGTGTATGTGGGGTGGGGAAGGGAGTGGGTTACCAGAGATGGGCCATTTGGGCCCAGTGCAGGCCCCCTTCATGGGCAATGCTTGCACTGAGGCTCCCGCTAGCCAGCTGAGCCTTCTGAGAGCTGCACTGTCATCTGAAGCTGTTCAAGGTAAGCCTCTTTCCTTCTCCTTCTCCCTTCACCTGTGTCAGACCAGAAGCTTCAGCCCATGCTTCTTCCTCTCTTCTTTACTTCCCAGGCATTTCTCTCATGAAACTCTCTCAGCATTTTATCCTGGGACCCTGAACTTTCGCTGTCCTGTAGGCAGAGTCCCCCGTGGATGGGTGCAGCAGCGCTACCCTCTACACTCCCCCCAAGTCTTGCTCTCTCTCTCTCAGGCAGACATGGTTCCCAGTGGGTCCCCCGCAGGTGAACTCCATCTCAGAATATATATCTGGAGAACTCAACCTGAGAGGAGGGCTGACATGGTCTCTGCAAAAGATTATCTTCCCTTTTAAACAACAGGCTGATATATATATGTGTATCTGGAGTCAGAGTCTCACTCTGTCACCCAGGCTGGAGTGCAGTGGCACGCTCACGGCCACCACAGCCTTGACCTGCTGGGCTCAGTTGATCTTTCTGTCTCAGCCTTCCAAGTAGCTGGAACTACAGGCATGCACCACTATGCCCAGCTAATTTTTCTTGATTTGTTGTAGAGACGAGGTCTCACCAAGTTGCCCAGGCTGGTCTTGAACCCGTAGGTTCAGGTAATCCTCTCACCTCAGCCTCCCAAAGTGCTGGGATTACAGACTTGAGCCACTGCACCTGGTCACAGACTGATATTTTAAAGCAGAATACTTTCAGAGGCAAAAGATTAATGGCTCATGGCTGGAATAGATTTCCACTCATCTGATGAAGCTAGCAGAGACAAGAGGATCTCCCTGTGGGTTGTTCCTGCACGAAAAGGAAACTCTCTATGACAGTCACTGGCTTATATCCCCAAGAATGTTCCTACCTGAAGCCCGAGATGCTCCAATCAGTCTTGCTCGAATCAGCCCCTCTCTCTTTGTGGTTCTTATTAATTTAATCTTTCCCCGAAAAACTTCCAGGTGATGGTCTAGTTTTTCTTTCAAATCATCTGGAAAAATAACCAACACTTGATGGTTTATAAAATGCACCCACAGAGATTAAAACAATTTTTCATCATTATGATTGATTCCTACAAACCATGCTATTTTGCAGAAGTTCTAACTTTTTATTTATTTATTTGTTTATTTAGAGTTGGAGTCTCACTCTGTCAGCCAGGCTGGAGTGCAGTGGCATGCTCATGGTCACTGCAGCTTCGACCTGCTAGGCTCAGGTGATCCTTCCACCTCAACCTTCCAAATAGTTAGAACTATAGACATGCGCCACTATGCCTGGCTAATTTTTGATTTATTGTAGAGATGAGGTCTCACCAAGTTGCCCAGGCTGGTGAAGTTCTAACTTTAAAGGAAAATGTTAGCCTATGTAAGGGAGAGGAAGGAGAGTGAATCATCATCAAAATCAACTGTAAATATTTTTCTGTGCTTCTAGTGAATACCTCTATTTTAATAAATCACTATTATTAGTTGGGCATAGTCACTATTATTAGTTGGGCATAGTGGCTCATGCCTGTAATCCCAGCACTGGGAGGCAGAGACAAGAGGATTGCCTGAGCCCACAGGTTTGAGACCAGCCTGGACAACATGGCGAGACCTCATCTCTACAATAAATCAAAAAATTAGCTGTGCATGGTGGCACATGCCTGTAGTTCCAGCTACTTGGAAGGCTAAAGTGGAAGGATCACCTGAACCCAGCAGGTTGAGGCTGTGGTGGCCATGAGCATGCCACTGCACTCCAGCCTAGGCAATAGAGTGAGACTCCAGCTCAAAAAAAAAATCACTATTAAAATTCTAATAGAAAAAGCATGAATTGTAGAGCTTCAGTGCATACTGACTTTGCTACTAACTGTGCTAATTGTACAATTATGCTAATTGTGATTCAACTTATTTTAACTTTGTAGTAACTCGTAGGCCTGTTAGGAACCTGGCCACACAGCAGGAGGTGAGCAGCAGGTGAGCAAGTAAAGCTTCATCTGTATTTCCCACCCCACCCAGTCGGAGTCTCACTTTGTTGCCTAGGCTGGAGTGCAGTGGCATGCTTATAGCCACCGCAGCCTCGACCTACTGGGCTCAGGTAAACCTTGCACTTCAGTCTTCCAAGTAGCTGGAACTACAGGTGTGCGCCACTATGTCCACCTAATTTTTTGATTTATTGTAGAGATGAGGTCTTGCCTTGAACCTGTGGGCTCAGGCAATCCTCTCGCCTCTGCCTTATTATAGGCGTGAGCCATCGCGCCCAGCCATTCATATGTATTTACAGCAGCTCCCCATCCCTTGCATTACCGCTGGAGCTCTGCCTCCTGTCAGATCAGCACTTAAAAGCCTGCTTCCATTTCCAACATCCTATCTTTGTGAAGTAGCGTCTTCTGCAGTGACAGCATCCAAAATGAGATGATGGAGTAGACTGGACATAAACAACACACTTTGGTGTCACTGTCTCTCATCACCCTTAGAGGAGAACATCTAGTTCCAGGAAAACAAGCTCAGGACTCCCACTGATTCTGCATTATGGTGAGTTATATGATTATTTCATTATATGTTACAATGTAATAATAATAAAGTGTACAATAAATGTAATGTGCATGAATCATCCCTAAAGAGTCCTCCACCCTGGTCCATGGAAAAATTGTCCTTCATGAAACGGGTTCCTGATGCTGAAAAGGTTAGAGACTGCTGCTTTACAAGGCTACCTCCTTTACCGGAAACATTTTTTCCTTCCTTTCTGCCTGCATAACCCCAACTTATCCTTCAGACCTCAGTTGAGATATCCCTTCTTCCCAAAGTGATGTCTAAAGATGAGATTGCTGCCTCTAGGTTTATCTCATGGAAACACTAACTCTTCAACTCCCCACCCTTTGAGCCAAAGCACCACAAGGACAGGGACCAGGTCTCACATATCCATCAGTGTACCAAAAACCCCTAGTTGCAGTGCCTGTCTCAATACCCACCAAAAATATTCTTTGCATAAAATATGCAAGTGCCATCAAAATGTTACCTTCAAAGTGGATAAGATCGTCAGTATTCTATCTTACCAAATTCGCTCATGTCGTCTACCAAAACAATTTCTTCAAGGAAATGGTCTGGAGTGCGACTCATAACACTGGACACTGTCCGAAACAAGGCATGAAATTCTTCATTATGGAAGCAAATGATAACGCTGGCAGTTGGTAGACGTTTTGAGTAATAGTTTCCAAGACACCTGCAGGCACAAATCATAGGAAGAAAATGACCCACCTAAAATCTTTGGATGTTTATGGAGACGTATTCAAACACCTTTCCTTATTTTCATTTTTTTCCCTTCAACTGATGATTCTATGATGATAGCATACCTAAAAATATAAAAATTAGTATACAAAAATTTATTCCACTTCTTAAGTTGTCCTAATATTTTCTGAATCTCTCCCCCTCCTTCCCCT